TGGAAAATAAAACAATATGAATCAGTACTACAAGTTGTGTCTTTGCTGTATTTGTCTGCTAAAGATCTCAATAGGGATGTAGTCAAAGCCCATGTACAGACATTTTGGCAGTTTCACATCAAACCTCTCTAAATGACTTTGTTTACATCTCAATTGAATTTGGAATGGAATTTCCCTATAATTTATTAGTTATATTTTTGGACTCTAATGTTTAGGCATGTGCTACTTGTACTGGAAGCCATGACATGAAAGCTATTATAGAGCCACTGCGTCAAATGTGCATCTTTTGCATACCAGAAAATAAACTCTGATATACAACATTTGTGAACTGTTAGATGCACCAAGGTAACCTTGACTGGGCTAGTGTTGTGAAAGTGGTTTGAAAAGCATTTTAGAAAGGTAGTCGGACAACTTTGACACCTTCACAATACCGTCACATTATACTGAACAGGCAGTATGATACAGTTAACTGCTCAAAAGCTTTCACATCATGCCCAGGCCTTCAAGCATGTCTACAATTCAGATGTGTGTTTGTGTGTGTGTGTAGGTGGTTATAATGTGTCCTTGGAATAAATTCTTTCCTCAGGAGCCAGTTTCCTGATAGAAAGTGTGTGGAGGAGTTTTTAGGTCAGTTTTTAGGTTTTTAGGTTGTTACAGGCTGTTTTCAGTTTTTAGAGGATTTCAGAGAGCCTTGGTCTGCTCTCATTTGCAGACCAACAGAAATGAAGGAAGGCACATTTTGGCAGGTAGGGCCTCAAGGGGAAATAACCACATTATGGAATGTGATGCTTACTTAAAAGACATTATCAGGGTATAATATTTCATTATTTTATAAAAAGCTTATATATTAGCATCTGTGTATAACTACTGTGAAAAATATCAGATATCAGCATGGCCCCACAATTCCCATGTTGGTGCATCCCTGTTTTAAAATGAACTCTTTATGACAATAAGGTTCTGCTTCTTGTTCTACTGCCTCACAGGTCATGGGCTAGTTTCAAGCACCTAAATTAATAGATTAATTAGCTTTACCATTTTTTTCATGATTGGAAATCCTAGGGTTAATCTGGGTCAGGGAAACTGGCCTTATGAGTTCGAGATTGATCGAATATTATCCCCCAAAACCATGTCGACAGGCCCCAGTGAGGATTCAACTCACGACCCCTGGTTTACAAGACCAGTGCTCTAACCACTGAGCTATGGAGCCCTGCTAAAAACAGCTATGTATATTTTATCAGCTCCATTTATCATCTAGGTGCACCATGTAGTTCTACAATTACAGACTGTAGTCCATCTGTTCCCCTACACCAGGGGTGTCCAATCTTATTCGCAAAGGGCCGGTGTGGCTGCAGGTTTTCACTCCAGACAAGCAGGAGTACACCTGATTCTACTTGTCTAATCAATTGGTCAGACTTCAAATGACTGATCATGTGAGCTCCTGCTTTGATGGAATGAAAACCTGCAGCCACACTGGCCCTTTGCAGATAAGACTGCACACCCCTGCTCTACATACTTAGTTAGCCTTCTTTAGCCCTGGTGATCTGGTTTCAGGTGTAATTTGGGTGGTGGATCTTTCTCAGCACTGTGGCACTGGCGTGGTGGTGGCATGTTAGTGCATGTTGTCCTATATGGTTTATGTGCATGTTGTGCACCTATATGGTACCTGATGCAAAGACTTGATTAAAAAGCAAAGAATGCAGATACAAGGTAGGTGCACTTAAAGAAGTGGCTGGTGGGTGTATATTTGAATGGAGACATCCATTGTCTCTTTCTTACTGTGGGCATGTTTCTGTTGAGGTTAGGCGTGCCTCAAAGTTTTGATTTCTGGTGTCAGATAGTATTAAATCAAATGACCATTTCACACCAAACAGAATTACATCTTAGACTGAAGCTTATAATTAATGTTCATCTGTGGTTAGGTGACAATTTTTCCACGCTTAGGACAGAATGTAATAACTATACAGTTAAATAAGTAAAATAAATTTGCCTCATAATTTAGAAAAGAAAGTCTTGAGGTGGAAAATACGCTGTTGGTACAATGAATTAATTGGAATGCATACAAAGTGTATCATATAGCATAAACAAAGATATCATTTACAAAAGCTCTAAAGAGTTTAAAGCTACCTCAGAGAATGTTATTACACTGAATGATCATGAATATATGCCTGACGCCTGAGACACTGTTTTACAAGTTTTGAGATAAGAAACTGAGCAAAAGAGTACCCAAAGAAAGTTTCATATTACAGATTTACCACTTATTCATCACTATCAACATTCCATATGAAAACTCTGCATCCACTAGTCACTTTGGATAATTAATTTAATGGCTACATTTTAGTTGTGGACATTGCAACCTCTGGTTCCTATCACCACCATTGTAAAGAAAGAGTCTGTAAGTTTCTCAAGCATGCAGAATTTCACATCAAACCTCTCTAAATGACTTTGTTTACATCTCAATTGAATTTGGAATGGAATTTCCCTATAATTTATTAGTTATATTTTTGGACTCTAATGTTTAGGCATGTGCTACTTGTACTGGAAGCCATGACATGAAAAGCTATTATAGAGCCACTGCGTCAAATGTGCATCTTTTGCATACCAGAAAATAAACTCTGATATACAACATTTGTGAACTGTTAGATGCACCAAGGTAATCTTGACTGGGCTAGTGTTGTGAAAGTGGTTTGAAAAGCATTTTAGAAAGGTAGTCGGACAACTTTGACACCTTCACAATACCGTCACATTATACTGAACAGGCAGTATGATACAGTTAACTGCTTAAAAGCTTTCACATCATGCCCAGGCCTTCAAGCATGTCTACAATTCAGATGTGTGTTTGTGTGTGTGTGTAGGTGGTTATAATGTGTCCTTGGAATAAATTCTTTCCTCAGGAGCCAGTTTCCTGATAGAAAGTGTGTGGAGGAGTTTTTAGGTCAGTTTTTAGGTTTTTAGGTTGTTACAGGCTGTTTTCAGTTTTTAGAGGATTTCAGAGAGCCTTGGTCTGCTCTCATTTGCAGACCAACAGAAATGGTACATTGTATCTAATACTGACGTGATAAAAGTTGTATAAAAGTTATACAAGCTATATGATTCCTCCTGCTGAATTGGTTAAAAGTCAGACTTGAAAACATGTTTCAGTCTTTTAACAGACTTGGAATTTGAGTGACCATATGCCCGAGTTATGTTTATCTTCATTAAAACAAATTATTTTGTCACTACCAAACCAATCATAATGCTACCAAAACTTGAAATGAAAAACAAATGTTTCAGTGGTGTCTATTTCAGAAGCAACTATTTAAATCTTTCAACGTTACTTAAAATATAAAAGGGAATACAAAAAAATGTCGTGTTATTTTCACATGGTTGAAATTTAGGGGTTAGGGTTCAGGTCTATAAATGATGATTTTTTTATCATCTAATATGTGTCCTTTACAAAATGTATGGCACATTTTATTATTTTTATTTATTTATTTTTTTTTCTATAGTATTACTATATATATATATCTTTGTGTAAGGGTTTATTCACATAATAGAGTACTACCATTTTATAGTAATTTTATATTTTATATCATCATTTTATAATGATGGCTAAAATTAATGTGGAATTCCACTAGTTTTTAAAAATATCTGCATTATGACATCATGGAGATGTAAACAAAGTCATTCAGAGTAACATAACATAGTGCATTATAGAGAGACTTACCAGTTGATAATGGTAAAATAGAGGTATCTGATTAGCCATACAATGAGCCACACTTTAGGGAAATGGGGGAGAATGTACTCCATTAACTGTAAAGCTAAACCATATATGAGCACGAGTTCAGCAGGACAGGATGATGATGAATAAACCTACACACAGTTAGAGGAAATGAACTGGAACAGACAATTCAAGGTGCAACAAACTGCAGTAAAATTATTAATAATAATCACCATCATCATAATATCATTGTTGGTATAGCACCTTATATACATATAATGCAGCTCAAAAATAAAATAAGAAAAATGTTGGCTAATTGTAGCTAACAATTGCTACAGCTAGCATGTAATGCTAATGCTAGCTAGTCAGTGAAACTCCAGTGAAGAACTGAACACTGAATATTTGTAGCAACATGCTAAAGCAGACCTTTTGCTCCATATCTGGGGGCACTTCTTACTCCAAAGTTCTAACTTTCACTTCAAGAGAAAATAAATCCTGCTGTGCTTTTTTCAGAGCAAAATATCATAGGAATGCAGTGATTTCAGACTAAATTAGACCATAGGCATTTAGTAAATGTGTCCGTGTTAGATGTGGCCCCATCATTTCATCAGAAGAGAAAGTTTAGCAGGCAGACATCTTCCTCCAAGTTACCCTACCTCCCTCTTAGAAAAGCAGCACAGACCAGCATGCCTGGCCACCAGCAAAACCAGCATATGTTGTGTTTTGTATGCTGGTATGTTGGTCAAATAAAATGACCATGTTGGGTGGCCAGCTAAACCAACATGAAACCAGCTTAGATCAGCATGTACTGTATGCTTTGCTGTGTTTGTCAGCAGGGCTCTCCGCCCTGCAGGTCTCAGACATCAGGCAGTTAATTTGTAAACATTTCATGTAATAGTTCTTGCTTTCTTTAACTCTTCAGACACCTGGTTCTTATCACCACCACTGCTGGTAACAATTCTGAACCGCTCTGAATGACGTTGCTCCTGAATGATTTTATTATGCAGATATTTAGGAAAATCACCCTTTATTATTATACGAAGCTGAGAAAATGGAATTAGTTGCCGCCCACCTCAGCTTAGGGTTTGGTGTCAGAAGTCAGTGGAAATACCCCCTGAAATCAGCAGTACAGATTTGTGTGCATGCATGTATGTTCCAGTCCTGCCTCTGATTGTGAAACACAGTACGTCAATACCCAAAGGCGGGAAAGCAGGTCTCGAGCAAGGCGCACGCAACTACTCTTCCTTTTGTGCATTTAGCTCACACATACAGACAGACAGACAGACAGACAGACACACATACTCACACGAATTAGTTCTCTTGTCTTTGTCAGGGTATTTCCACTGACTTATTACTGTACAGAGACCACTTTTCTTAGGAAACAAGCGAGGAACATGGCTGCAAAGAGGTAAACAAAATCTAAACCTACATGATAACACATACAGACTAATTACAAACATTTACTGGACAAACATTTATAACTTAGCTAGGTAGTGTCAATAATTTTCCCACCTAAATTCAAGTTAGTTTGTCCTGGTATAGTCAAATTGCCTTATGTCATTTTGAAAGAGAATTCTTGATGTCTCATTTCCGGTTGTTACAGGCTATTTTTAGTTTTTAGGTCAGTTTTTAGGTTTTTAGGTTGTTACAGGCTGTTTTCAGTTTTTAGAGGATTTCAGAGAAGCTTGGTCTGCTCTCATTTGCAGTTTTTATTCTTTACTTTTATTGCATGTTTCAGTTTAGTTTTAAAATCTTAAAAAGCTTTACACAGGTAAACAGCATAATTACACTGTAATAAACATTTATTGGAATTCCACTGATTTTTATAAATTTCTGCATATTTCAGTCACTGAGATGTAAATAAAGTCATTCAGAGTGGTTTAATGAGAAATAGTTCATTTTAGAGAAACGTATTGTCTCAGATTTCTTTATAGTAATGGCAATTGGAAAAAGGAGTCACAAACGCAAATGTAGCCATTTTATACACATATTATCCAAAACCACCAGTGAACCAACACATCTTCTGAGTTTTGATATGTGATGTTGATGATGGTAAAATAGTGCTAAATCTGAAAAAATATATATTTTCTTTGTGGGCTATTTTGCCTTATGACGTCCTGCATATACCTTTCCGCCATGAATGTATTTAAGAGGATATGTTTTAGGCCTAAATATTTTTGTAAAACTGCTGTGTTCTTATCACCACCACTGTGATTAATTCTGACTCGATATGTTTCTCTAGAACGAAATATTTCACACCAAACCACTCTGAATGACTCATCTCAATGCAGAAATTTTGAAAAACTGGTGGAAAGGACATAAAAATGGGTTGAATATTGAGGAAGTAATTCTGGTTCTGTCAGTGAAATTCTGTTTTAAATCATGTGAGCTAATCTTCTAATGACAGTGCAAAAACCAATGTGTTACATTATAAAATGTCAGTTTTAAGGCAGCCAGGCACTGGCGCAAAATAAGGGGTGGGGTGAGGGGGACATGTCATATATTTATTATTTATCATAATACACAGATCAGACAAACAGTGGTATAAAACCTGCCACTGTAAAGAGTAAGAAACATATGTGCAATATGTATGAAATACGTGACATTATTCCTGTTAATGATTTTGTTTGGGTTTGTTTTTTTTTATTGATTGGCAAGCCATTAAATATACAACACTACAGTAACACTAACTGCAGGTTTCACATTTGAATTGCTCTGTGAAATCTTTAGTGTTTGCAGCTTTATTACAAGTAGACTTAAAGCCCAACAGCAATATTTTCAGTTTATAAGACTTCAGAAGGAGGAAGTTTCTGGTGTTCCAGACTTTTATGTCTTTGACACAGTCTTTCATTTTGTATATCCCATCACTGTATTTGGCTGTTATAAGACATATAACTGTATATCATCACTACAAAAGTGACAGCCAATATTGTGTTTTGCATGTCTTATGGAATGTAAACAAAAGACCAACAGTAAAGGACCCTATAACGGAGCCATAGGGACATCATATGGCACTCATTTATGTTCCAAATACTCCTAATTTATATTGAATTATTGATACTGTTATTTCAATTTAAATATCACAGTTAATATTGTTGAATGTTGCACTTAAGCCCCGGAGGTGAGTAGTGACTAGTTATTTACTCAGTTACATGTACTAATGTAAAATGTGATGGATTTTAATGTTATATCCTAAGTACTTTTAAATCTTAATACTTCTACTTGAGAATATTGGTGAGGAAAGTAACTTATTATTTAGCTTATTATCCATTTACATTTTACTTATTAACATTTAGTTACTAATTTCTTTTTTGAGTATAATTTTATTCTATTACATTAGTGACAACATCTGTACTGAGATTAAACAAGTTAATTTTTTCTATAACACAGCACTGATATCATCACTGTCCAAAGAAAAACAAGTATCTCAAAAATGGCAACTTTGCAGGAGAGGGCGAAAACGTTCTTTACATTTAATGTAAGTTAACGTAAAGAGATTTTATTCCTAGCGATTTTGGAGCATTTCTATTGCTCCTTTCATTATTAAATTTACACACAATATAAACTGCAGCTGATTTTCTCAAATTATGTCAAAAAATTAAAAACAACAAAAATGGAGATACTTTTTTTTTTTGGATCGCGCTGATATTCAGATTCATTGTAATGTTTGTAACAATACGTTCGTTTTCTAATGAAAAACTGTGATGAACTGATGCACTGAAATATGTGCATGTTAAAGAGCCATTGACGGCTTCCTATACAAAAATAAGCAGCCAATTTATGTGGGCTTTATTTAATATTGACACAGTATTTATTCTCTTAATTAATTTTTTTTTTTATTATTGTTCCACAATATACATGAAACTAAATAGTAAGGGAATAATTACTTTTCAGTCACCACTTAAGGCTGATAAGCTGGGAACTAAAATATCTCTTTGATATATAAAGTGGCAATTGAGACTTTGAAACTTTTTAATGATCAACCGAATAAGAGTGGTAGGTCTTCAGGAGCCTCTGCTTCTGAGTATTTTTCAGAGGGGGGTTTTATTTGAAGCCTTTATGCTGTTTTTCTTTGGTCTTCTCATTACTTTTACTACAACTGACAGTCAGTTCACATAATCAGTTAGTACTGATTTTATTAGGGGTGTAAAAATGCATGATGGCAAATGAATATGGTGATTCAACAGCATTGATTTTGGAATTTTAAAGTAAGTATAATATAATAACATTTCCCAATGTAAAAATCGCAAATTCAGAAGCTCAACATTGTGGTTAAATTTGAGATTTAAGAACAGATTTCCACCCCTAATGCAGATATATGGATAATCTAGTGCAAAATGCATGATAAGTTAAATATAATGTTTTGCTTCCTTTTTAGAGAGTGGACAGAGCGTAAAAACTCCAGAGGCCATGTAGAAACATGCTGTGAACATGAGCATGTGAGTTTACTGGAGCTGAAAAAGGACCCCTACTTGGACAAACGCTACCTGAAGAAGAACAATATCCCCCCTTATCCAGACAATGTGCTCTTCTGTGTCTCCAAAGTGTGCCATGTGACTGGGGAAAGTGGCCTTCGTGGTATCTTTCGTGATGGCGGCTTCCGTATAACACGCCATGACAACTTCCTGTGGTGGAGTCTATCAGTGACCAAGGATGACATTGCTGTGGCTGAGAAGCGATTCCTAAAGAAGTCATTTCCAAAGGTCCAGGCCTCTAACCAGCAGCCTTTCCTGGAGAAGTTCACCACCTCGCCAGCATTCCAGAGCAAGTCTCGCTACGGCAACTTCCGATTCACCTTTCGTCTAAGAAAGCTCCTGTCTCTGTATGCCAGACAGTTCTGTGACAGATCCGCTCCAGTTCTTCGTGTGTTGGACACCAAGATCTACAAGACAGAGATTATGTACTCCGTGTTGGTGCATCCACGGCACATTGAGGACTACCGCCAATACCCACGCCTGCCCCATCGTTATAATAGAGTGTGTGGGTACTTCCAAGGCAAGATGTCATGGCGCTGTCAGGCTCCATCAGAAATCCACCACTACAGACTAGTAGTGGACAAAGAGAAGTCCAGAGTGTATGTGAAGACACTTAGCAGTGAGGAGTATTATGTGTGGGATCATGTGGCTGTAGCCTTTTACATGGAGCCAGGCTGGGTTCTGGATGTGGATCGGAAGCAACTGTATAGAAGTGTGAGCGTATGTGAGGTCACTAAACCGAATCTCGTGAGGGAGCCAGACCGCGCCCTCAATGAGGATGAGGCTTCCGAAGTACTACAGGACATAGCTAGTCAGCACAACTTAGGCCACTACTATTGATCAGGGGTGTCCAGTCTTATTGCTGTCAATTTAGTGACTGCAAACATTTTTCAGAAGCCCAACCAAATGCATCCAACCCATTAATCCAGGTGATGAGAGTAGTTACTCAAAAAAGTAATTCATTACAAATGACTGATTACATCTCTGAAAGTCTAATGGGATTGCTTCACTTTGATGGAAAAAATAATCTCACCATTCATCACTGTACTTTTAAGTTACTCTCTAAAACCCATACAAATCTGTACCATTTACCTAGAAAGAAATAGATGACTGTGGTAAACAATCATTAAAAAGACATGTAACTACCCGCCCCCCCTCTGTACTCTGAACAAGACACAGACATAACCTAAAACCATAAACCTAAAAAGTCAGCAGAAACAATTCAAAAACAGCCACCTCTAAATAAAATCTTTAAAACTACTCTGAATGGCTTTGTTCACATCTTAATGATTGAATTTTGCGAAATTGTGGAAAAATCAGTGGATTTGAAAAATAAAATGTAAAGTACGGAGCCTAAGAGAGTATAACTGACTTCGCTCTCTCTTTGCTCCCTCAGGATGTCTGTATTCCTCTAATACTGTCCACTAGATGGCTGTGCAGAGCTGCACAAATAAAGTCTACAACTGAAAGTACCATAAGGAAAAGTCCATTCTGTACAGCTCTGACCTGTACAAAGCAGATATTAACAATGACATATAATTCAACTAATAAGTTATTCATACATTGTCGTTGTTTCCTTTTAAATACTTCTACTATCTTCTGTCCTGTTTTCTATTCCACTTCCACATGGCTTAATAATATTGTGGCATGTTTTGTTAACATGGAAGAGAAACCTGAAGAAAGACTTTTATGAAGAAAAAAAACCTTCATTTTCTGTCTTTTATTTTCTTTTTTTTATTATTTATTTATTTTTTTTTAATAAATTGCATTTCAGGCCTTCTGTTTTAGATTGTAGTGAATCCACTATCTATATTGAATTAAATCCTATATCAAATTTTTTACCCTGTATTTTTATGTAAGTACACTCAATGTAATAACTCTAAATGACTCATTTTAATGTGACATGAAGGACCACTTTTTGCAGCAATATGTACTTTAAACCCATTTGGTAAGTATGTATCAGTCGTTTTACAGATCAGTGCTTTGACTAGGCCACTGTAGGACATGTAGTACAGGCTTCAAGCTACACTGTTAATAAAGTTTACATGATGGAACTTCAATCATCTGACTATCTGAGGTTTGTCCTTGTGAGCATCAACCAATGCTCCATTGTCCAATCATTCAAATGTTGCGTGTCTTGCACACTTTAAACAAGAATTTCACAAATTTTTCAATAATTCTGCAAAGCTCATTGATGTAAACAAAGCCAATTCAGAGTGGTTTACTGTGAAATGCATCTTTCTCTAATTGAATCAGAATTGTTCACAGTGGTGATGATAGAAACCAGACGTCCAAAGTGCTTAATGCCTCTAAAGGCTACCTAATAGGAAGCCATTATATAAAAGAGTTAAGAATACATTGCCTGATCCTTGATATTGCTTCAGGAAAGCTTTTGCAGGAAATGAATTGGCTTAAATGTATTTTCAAAATATATGCAAGGCAGAGAGGCACATGCAGGGTGTTGTAAAGAAAAGTAGTACTCAAAAATGTTTTTTTTTTTCATATTGACCACTATTTTACTGTTATCCACAATATATATGTTTACAACACGTATAGGTTCATTTTGGATAGCAAATAAAATGGCTATGTTTGCGGTGTAGACATCACAACCCCTGATTCCTATCAAAACTACTGTAAAACAAGTAAGAGTTAACACTCGTCATTTCAAAAACGTTTTAAATTAAGTCACATCAAAACCACATCACATCAAAACATTAAGAATGACTGTTTACATCTCAACTAAATTATGCTGAAAATATGAAAAACCAGTGGAAATTATCTTTAATAAGGTGCTGGTATTATGGATCCATCTGAAATGCTTAAAAGTGGTCCTCTTAAATATACAGTGCAACATCATTTGACTCAAAATCACTCACTATGTCTATTTCACTGATGGACACCAACCTTCAGTGCTCTGTTATTGGCCAAAACAGTTGAGGAACATTGCAGCAGCCACTTCCGCCTGTGGTTCATAGCCTATGTGGGCTCCTATGGAAAACATAATATTATCAATACCAGGATTTATACCAAATTATGTATATATTTCTTTGCTGACTGATGTTTCTGCATAACCAGTGAGAAAAAGCCATCAAATACATCCACTGTACTGGACCAACCGTACTTTGGTCCTCCAAACAGTGATAATTTGCCTGGGACTGCTTTACCACTGGAGGCCTGTTTAACTGTTATTATATAACTCGGTTATATAATCTACTGAATTACTTTAGAAGAACTGTTTTGGCTACCAGCTTCAGCAAGTGCACAGAAATCTATGAGAACCCTTGGTCTGGTCTCATGTCAAAAACTAAGCAATGTGGGGCTTGGTCAGGGCTTGTATTGAAACCTAACTGACATTAGAAATTGCAATCAAGTTTTAAACCTAACCTTTACTTTGAAATAATAATAACTTTGATTCAGAATAAAGAATTTTAAAAAAGTCAGCATCTATTGAGTCCTAATAAAGTGGTGGGATTCTTTAAACGGCCAATACTGAAGGCCAGCCACAAGCAGTGGATCTATGAGGCTGGGAACCCTTAGGCTTGACATATCTATGAACCTAAGCAAGGCTGGTCCTGGTCAGTGACTAGATGTGAGACCATGCTGCTTTGCCAGTAGTTCAAAGCTTTTCAATCAAACCTGCATTTTGAAACTAAGTTTGAATACAGTGAAAAACAGTTTATATTGTGGGACTAAGCAGAAGGCTTAAGACAACAAACAGGAATTTTTGAGAACCCTTGGTCTGGTCTCATGTAGAGTTATAAGTAACAAATTACATTTACTCTCGTTACTGTACTTGAGTACAGTTTTCCCTGTAACGGTACTTTTTGAAGTAGAATTAAATCATAGTACTTTTACTCTTATTTTTAATGAAATACTTTTACTTCGCTAATTTAGTTAAAGGGTAAAAATAAATGATAAACATATCAGCTTACAAACCAATAAGAACAAAGCGTGGTTAAATTTAACAGATCCACCAATAAAAAAGCTCCGGCAGGAAAAACACTACAGAGACGTCCAGTTTAGTGGAGAAGGAAAGAGGAGAACATAACCAGCACACACAAGGAACAGACCACGTCCAAACGGTCATCTATATTCATTTTCACATGAACTAAAGAAAACAGCATTATTATCAGTGGCCAAACATGAAGCCTGCTGAGATCTCCGCTTTCACAACTCGACTCCAGCCTGAAGCAGCATTTGCCAAGCTAGCTGATCCGAGCTAAACAGGTACCATGTTGACTGTTTTCTTCTTTCTTTTATAATGCGCCTTTTTATTAAACTTGAAATCTGTTTCATTTATTTTATTACAAATGCCTGTCAGCTACTTTAGTTAACAGGCGTCGCTCATAGCCGTCCTGTCCAGGGTGTATCCTGCCTTCCGGCCAGTGACTGCTGGGATAGTCTCCAGTACCCCCTGCAACCCAAAAGGATAAGCAGCTTAGAAAATGCGTGTGTGTCGCCCATAGCCTACACTTTACCTGTTTAAACTACAGCCTATTTTATTCGCTGTTTTGGAGATAAATGATTGTGTACGGCTGTGATACAAGAAATCTAGTCTAATACAGGTTCTTCATAAACTCTGGACAGTGATTCTGTCACGCTGTCGTTCTTTAAGCTGACTGGCCTGATCTGATCAGACTGTGGGTGGACTATGAAGTTTGTGCGCATGCTGTATACAGACCAATCAGAGCTCACCTCACATGAATAAAGAGACCTCAGAGACACCAGGGCATCACTCAGACAGAGTGTAAACAGAGAGCTATAATATTCAGATCATCGTTCGTTCTGACTGTGAAAAAACTGTACAGTTATCATGTCTGAACTTTCACTGACCTAAAAATACAAGGCTAAAAAATACTCCTCGATCTCACCTACAGATAATACTGCATCATCAGAGACTTTGTTCAGTCAGTTCTTCACAGAACTCTACCTATCTCTTCTTCTTCTCTCTCTTTCTTTCTCCTCTCTCTGCCTTGGTGTGTCTTTAACTGTGAGAGGCTGTTCAGATGTTTAACTGTCTAATGCAGTAATAATGTCTGACTCTGTATAAAGTGATCAGCATGATTACTAGTGAAATATATTACAGTGAAAAATCAAATCTGGGTAAATTGCTGATGTTGATGCTGGTTTTAATGGTAGAAATGTTTTAAACAGATATCAGTGAATATATACAGTTTGAAGGCTGTGAATGTGTTTACTGTCTGTAGAGGTTCATATCTATTAACGTAAGCTAGAGTCCAGGAAGCTGATGGGCAACAGGACTCCTCAAAATTAATTAAGCAATCTACTTAGAATTTTGACTCAGTTTTTTTTTTCCTATTAAATGAACTTAATTCAACAGTAACAACGTCTGCACAGGGATTCTAAAATACTTCATTGGAAACAGATAAACTAGGAAGTCTTATATATTCATCTAACCATGACATGCATGCAGTTTAATGTAAACCTTGTTCCTTACACAGTTCACAGAAAGATGTGTACATGTGCACTAGCAGAGCAAACTGTGATCGGTCTCTCAGAACCTTTTTCCCCCACATAATATTTTGTTTTGCTTTAGTGGCTTTCTGTGCAGATTATTTCCAATGATGTAATATTTTCAGTGACAGCAGAAATACAAAAAAGTAACTAAGTAACTTGGGCATTTAAGTAGTTTTTCAATAAACTACTTATTAACTCTTACTTGAGTAATTTTATTTACTAATACTTTTAGAAGAAACATCGTTCTTTTTAGAAATAACGTAGTTATTTGTGAAGTCTGACACTGACGGAGCAAAATCTCAGCTCAGATCTGCACAACTATAAGCTCATTCTCAGCCTTACACTTTTAGCAAAGCACCACACACAGTGCAGTAAACACACTTCTCTCCAGTAGACACAGAAATCTAACATGATGTACAGACACTTACCTGCTTAATTTTAAACTCACCAATCAGGTGTGAGCACCATAAAAAGGCATGAGGTGAGTTTTTTAGTTCATGCTTTCTTTTAAGTCTCCACAAATGTTTTGCTGTGTTTATGTTCTTTGTTCTATTTAGAAAATGTTCTGTTTTGAATTTCAGTGCACAGTGCAGCCTTTGGAAATGCATGGATGTATTGACTGATGTTACATGTGGAGAGGAGTAAA